AATTTTATATATATAATATATAATTTATAATATATATTATTAATATATATATTTATATATATATATTTATATATAATAATTTATACATAATATTTTTATATTTATATATAATAATTTTATGTATATATTATATATATTTATATATATATATATTATATATTATATATTTTATATATATATATATATATATTATATATATATATATATATATTATAATTTTATATATATTATATATATATATATATATATATATATATATATATATATATATATATATATATATAATTTATATATATATGTATACAATTTTATATATATATATAATTTATATATATATATAATTTTATATATATATAATTTATATATATATATATATATATATATATATATATATATATATACATATATATATACAAAAACATACATAAACAATATATGTAGATATAGACAGATGTGTATGCATAAATTCATATATGCATGCAGTTATATATGTATGAGACAATAATATAACTCATCACTGCATCTTCAAACAATGACAATATCAATTATAATGTCACACAATAATTTCATCTTTCATTACCTTATAAATAGAGAGGCCTTAGACAAATAAACTACAGGTACCAAAAATGTCATCACAGTTCACAGCAATCCAATGTAAAATTATGGGCAACATGCCGCAAAACAGAAATAACTGATGCCCACATAGGAAGCAGAATTTATAGCATCAAGCTCAAAAACAAAAAAACAAAAACAAAAAGAGAGAGAAAAAAAAAAAAAATGCCAAGGGTAAGTAAATGACCCTGACCCTGAGTCGCTCTAAACAAATTCTAGCTTGCTCCGAGATGATGATTGGCTACAGTTCTGTAGTGCCACAGCCTCAACGCCCTCATGTTGGTGTCTAAGCGAACGGCTCCGTGGTTGACTCCCATCACAAAATAGATCCGACACATATACGGACTTGATGGTTGCATGAGATACACAAAAGCAAGAAAGAAAAATAGTATACGATGTAGTACTTCCACAAGAAAAGACCTGACAAAACTTATAATTAAAACTCTGACAAAACTTATAGTTAGAAGTTCAAGTCAGGGTCACAGCCAAAAAAAAGAAGAAAAAAGAAAAGAAAAAGAAGAAGAAGAAGAAAAAAAAAAAGGATGAGAGGGAAGCAATGAAAAAAAAATATACATATATATTTGGCTCTATACACAACTAATGAATGTGAAAATCTATAATAACCTTAAACTACTTAAAAAATAAAATAAATAAAAAACAAACAATATGAGCTTAAAAAATTAACATTCCTTCTTTATAAATAGTGACTTGGTAATTCGTGCACATAACACTTACGACAAGTACTGCAACAACAGCTCCCTCTAAAAAGCCAAAAGAGAACATCTGACCAATGGTGCTTATAGTCAGATATACGGGAAATGGTTGTGTAGAAGGTCATCATTAAGCATACGAACTGTAGGAAAGGCCGTACCACTTGGGGCTTTTGAACTTGAAACGAGCTTGAAGATAGACTGAAATGAAAATTAATAAAACACACATGAATGAATAAATATAAAGCAGGAAATGTGAGCAAAACTGAGACCCAGTAATATGTAGTTTTGCAATCACAATCTGTAATAAGAAAAATCAAGTATGTGAGTACGCCATCAAATCCTATAGATTTTCAACCGCAAAGGACAAAGCAAATTGTCCTGTCTACACATATATTTAAGATATACTGGGTTAGGAGTGATTACAGATTATCACTTGACTGGACTGGACTAAAATACATAACATAATCATATCACTTATAATGCAAACCTTGCAAAATCCACTGAAGTCTTTAACACTATTTTGAGACTGATTCAATAAACACAATTATCATCTCTTACCGCAAAATATATCATGGTAAAATGCTGAGAAAGACGCATGCCCAGAGGGGAAAGACAACCGAGCTTCCTTCATTCTGTGAGCATCATCACTTGTGCAAGGAATGGGGTCTACATACGGCTCAGAGCAATTAATCTGAAAAAATTATATAATTCCAGAAAATAAAATTTGGCAGATGACCACTTAATCTCAGTTCATGCTGCACTCATTCCTATAGATTTTCAACCAAAGGACAAAGCAAATTGTCCTGTCTACACATATATTTAAGATGTACTGGGTTAGGAGTGATTACAGATTATCACTTGACTGGACTGGACTAAATACCTAGCCTTAGGCCTAAAAGGGTTAGGGTGCTTGATAAAGTTAGCTTGGCTGGCGCTAGATAAGGAAGTGTGCATTGCACGGAATTGTATCAATAGTAGTACAGTGAGGGCTGGGCTAGAGTAGGATTTAATAAGGAATGCAATCACTAGGGCTCAATATCAATTTTTATTTCTGATGTATGACTTATATTAGACGTGCATTTCATATGGAAACATCCATATATAATCAAAATAATGAAAAAAATTACCTTAGACCAATCTGGCTTGCAGATTGCAATAAAATGTGGTCTCAGGCGACCAACACTATACTTGGCAATATCAGTTGTGAGCTGAGAGGTTGCACAGCAAAGAGGAATGGTCCAACTGCGGAGTAGGCTGCCAGAACCAGGAATTGATTTCACGCCACACATGACCACCTTCTTGCCAACTGGTTCGCGACGCACACGGAACCATTCTAAGACGCACATCTATGCCAGTTTGAATATACAGAATATATAGTATGAGTTAAGTAATAATGAAGCTGAAATAACCTGATGTTTTAGCATCGTACACTGGCTTAATCATTACAATTTTACTATAACACTGAATGATTCTCTTTCATCATGCTTAATGAAGTACAGATACCTAGAGCATCAATGCATTCAACAAAACTGGCAAACTAAATATCATTGATGAATGTTACATTCCTTTATGTTGTATAGCTTAGGTATTATAATCACAATGTAGTACTAACAGAAATGAGAAATCAATCATACAATATATATTCTAAGACACTAGCCAGTTGCAAAGTAGTATCAAGTTATCTTATTTTTATAAACATGCCATTCTTAGTCACATGCATATCAGTGATGAAAATATTTACTTGGGAGATTATCCATTACCATATCATAACAAATATACCAAAAGTCCATAATTATAGCAAGCTGTATAATCAATGCCCTACAATGCCAGCTTCCCCAGCTTCACGAACATCAGGGTGCACATCCTGCTATTCATCAATTTAAATGCAAGACAACAACCAAAGCTTTTGTGGGTTTTAGTGACAACAAAAGGTCCTTAAGATACCACAAACAAAAGTTGTTGCAAATCAGCTAGTCTACTCTAATACACATTAACAATGCTTTGAGCAACCCTACATAAAATTATAGATATTAGTGTTAATACTCTATTCAGACAATTAATGCACTATTATTTTCTCCAGCTTAAAACTACTTCCCTTCACACTTACATACTAAGCATCAAAATAAGAACATTTACATCAAATATTACAAAGTTTGTCTTCTTTTTTGTGGTATCTCAAATGCAAAAACTCTGAATTAGTGCTGTGCCCAAGATTGCTGCAGTGCTCATCACATAGCCATGACAAGAAAAAAAAAAAAAAAGGAAAAAGAAAAGAAGAAAATAAACACAAATAAAACATTCAACTCTCATCAACTCTGAGAACAATATACCTTTAAAACTCAAAATTGTGCATGAATTCTGAAAATTGTTCCAGCCACTGAACATTCTAAAGAAAACACATTATGTACACAAACGTTACACATCGAGCAATATTCCACCAAGAACATTTCTCCTTTTTATGAAGTTTAAGGAGGTTTGAATGTTGACACCACTGGACAGAGAGGAAGGAAGGAGACAGGGCAATGTGTAGGAATAAAGAGGATACAAGGACAGAGTGTGAGGAAGGGAAACTGTGCAATGAAAATATTCCTAAAACTGTGTAAGTCTACAATTCTGTGAGGTGATAAATCTAAGGAACTGTACTACAATAATTCAATGTCACTATTGCCATACTAAGTGGTTGATTAACTTATAGTAAAGCACATTCACATACTACCCATTTCTCTAAAGCTCCATTGATGTGATAATCAGGCAATAAGAGTGAACTTCACTGACTTTTTAACATATGCTTACCACACTGAACAAAACTAAAAGAAATGATAATGATAATAATAATTAATTTGTTTGAGTACATAATCCCATACATTATACACACCTTAAGCTAATTCTGAAAATATCAGTTGTGAGATATAAGAATAAAAATTTCCTTCACGTCAGGTCTTGCTGCACGTTCAAGATAAACTCAAAAGCTTTAATTTTCTATTACAGGCAAAATAAAATATACAGATTACGGAGGAAAAAGAGAAAGAAGAAAGAAAGAAAGAGAAGAGAGAGAGAGAGAGAGAGAGAGAGAGAGAGAGAGAGAGAGAGAGAGAGGAAGAAGAGAGAGAGAGAGAGAGAGAAGAGAAGAGAGAGAGAGAAGAGAGAGAGAAGAGAAGAGAAGAGAGAGAGAAAGAGAGAGAGAAAGAGAGAGAGAAAGAGAGAGAGAAAGAGAGAGAGAAAGAGAGAGAAAAGATGAAGAGAGATAAGAGTGAGAGAGAAAGAGAGAGAGTAAGAGAGAGTAAGAGTGAGAGAGAGGAGAGAGAGTAAGAGAGAGAGAGAGAGAGAGGAGAGAGAGAGAAGAGAGAGAGAGAGAGAGAGAGAGAGAGAGAGAGAGAGAGAGAGAGAAGAGAGAGAGAGAGAGAGAGAGAGAGAGCGAGAGCGAGAGCGAGAGCGAGAGCGAGAGCGAGCGAGCGAGCGAGCGAGCGAGCGAGAGAAAGAGAAGAAAGAGAGAAAGAACGAACACAAAAACAACCATGACAGAATTAATGCCTGCCTGGGGCGAAGGGATTGACACAAGACGCACGCGCTCCTAAGAAAGACTTAATAAAGAAAGGCAAGAAAATTATCTCAGTCCCGGGATTGGCGATAGACAAAGAAACAAAGGGAGGCTTTCGGCAAAACAAACAAACAGACGTGGAATGGGGTTGCGGATGGACGGAGAGGAAGCGGGGGTAAACAGCAAACAAGCAAATGAGATAGAGAGAGACAAAGATCAAGGTAAGGAACAAAGAGATAATGGACAGGGGGAGACAAAGAGCTGGATACAAATAACACGAGCAATAAAAGTGACGAAAAACGGAACGGAGAAGCGAGGAAGGCGAAGGAGAAGGAAGTAGAGCAATAAAAAGGCGGACGAGATACAGACGGATAAAGTGGACACGAAGAGATAATGGAATATACTTTTTTTATGATTTTCTATAGGCCTACGAGAGCGATGGACAAAGAAAACCATTGCCAGTGCAGGAAAGAAGAGAGACGTAATGGGATAATTTGATAAATGGGAGGTAGTGAAGCAGAGAAGGACAACATATGCACCGCAGGAAGATGGGAGTCGTAAAATGTAATGATGGCAGATAGAACAAAGGGATGGATAATGAAAGAACGGAGATGAGGCCAAGTGAACCAGAAGAACCAAAGAGAAAGAGATAGGCCGAGAGACCGAAGACGGGGGAAGCAAACACCGGCCAATAAAGAAGAAGAGACCAAGAGACAAAGAGAGAGAGAAAGGGCGATCGGAGAGTCGAGTTCGGAAACAAAGGCGAGTGGACAAAGAGGCGTTTGACTCGCAAAGAACGAAAGGAAGAGCAGTAACAAAGAAAGCAGAGATTGCAAATAAACAGAGAGACGGACTGACTGACGAGGGAGGCGGTAATGATATCCGCGGCGGATTAGGGAGAGAAACAAAGAGTCTCGTCCCGTTGATCAAGAGGGAAGAAGAAGAAGGAGAGAGAAAGGAGAGATGGTGTGCCTCGGCGCGGGCGAAAAGGCGGAGGGAGAGAGGGAGAGGGGGAGAAGGAGGAGGAGGGGAGGGGGAGAGAGAGTCAGAGGGAGAGGGAGAGGGAGGGAGAAAGGGAGAAAGAGAGAGAGTGAGAGAGGGAAAGAGGGGGAAGAGAGAGAGAGAGTGAGAGGTAGTCAGTGACTCAGTGAAAGAGTGAGTGATACACAAACAGATGACAGTGTGAGTTGGCGAAAGAAAGCGATAGATAATCCGATAGAGACGAAGAATAAAAAACAAATGGAAAAGAGAGAGGGAGAGAGAACAGGTGAGGATCCAGAACGACAGGAGTAGTAAGACGCGAAGAGAACAAAGACGACACGAATTACGGAACCAGTCAAAAGCCGACGAAAGGCGAGGGCGAGAAACGGAAGAGGAGGACCTTGGCGGCGGCGGCGGCGGGAGCGGGACAGTCCGGGAGAACGCGTGAGCATCATCGCCTGTGCGCGCCGTCAGTCACGTCAGTCCGTCAGTCGGTCGGTCGGTCAGGCATGTAGTCAGTCAGTCAGTCAGGTAGTCAGTCAGTCAGTCAGTTAGTCCGTCAGTCAGGTAGTCAGTCAGTCAGTCAGTCAGTCGGGTAGTTAGTCAGGCAGTCAGTCGGTCGGTCGGTCGGTCAGTCAGTCAGTCAGTCAGTCAGTTAGTCAGTCAGTCAGGTAGTCAGTCAGTCAGTCCGTCCGTCAGGTAGTCGGTCAGTCAGTCAGTCAGGTAGTCAGTCAGTCCGTCAGTCAGTCAGCAGTCAGTCAGTCGGTCAGTCAGTCCGTCAGTCAGTCAGGTAGTCCGTCCGTCCGTCCGTCAGTCAGTCGAGAGGGGGGAAGGCTAGATCAGTAGCAACCCGAGGAGGTGTCATGGCGTCTGACACTATTTTTGGGAAAAAAAAGCATATGGGGTTTATTTTGATGACGTCACAAAAGTTACGGATGCTCTTATGTGAATAAGGTCGATCATTTTGGTCTCTTCAGCGTTCAAAAAGGATGGGAAATAATGCTTTTAATGGATATATTTTCACTGAACACTCATCAAAACAGACGCCACGACGCCTCCTCCAGTTGCTACTGACCTGGCCTTCCCCGAGTCGCTCGCGAGGTGCCACGAGCGGCCGCGAGTACGAAGCGAGGAGAGAGAAAAAACGAGAAAACTAGCGTGTGTGTTTATCTTTTTATTCTTATTTTATTTTTTCTTTATGGCTGGTGAGAGAAATCCAGCGTGTATTTTTATTTTTTCTATTTTTATTTTATTTTTTCTTTAGGGCTGGTGAGAGAAATCCAGCGTGTATTTTTATTTATTTTTTTTTATTTCTTTATTTTTATGGCTGGTTAGCGTGTATTTTTATCTTTTTATTCTTATTTTATTTTTTCTTTAGGGCTGGTGAGAGAAATCCAGCGTGTATTTTTTATTTCTTTTATTTATTTCTTTATTTTTTATGGCTGGTGATGAAGTGTAACGGGATAACGAAAGAGATGGAGAGAAAGGAGGGAGAGAAAGTGATTATGTGTAACGGATAACGAAGAGAGGGAGAGAAAGTGATTATGTGTAACGGATAACGAAAGAGAGGGAGAGAAAGGAGGGAGAAAGAAAAAAAACAACAACAACAGCGTAATGCAGACAGGCAGATGGACTCGGCGAGGTAATCCCGCGGGATCCACTGACGTTATTAAAGACAAAAGGAGGAGTTCTGGACGTCACAAAACGCGCCTCGAGAGATGGGAATGTAAGCGCTCCCCCCCCACCCCGCCTCCTAACCCCCCCCCTTTCGAAGAGTAAATGCCCCTCACCACCCCACCCCGCCCGACCCCTCTTTCGAAGAGTAAT